CATGCAACAAAAATTGATACTATATGTTCATTATGGTCCATTCTTCCTTGAAGAATAAGTACATAAGTGACAATATAGTCAAAGACGAGAAAACTGCACAAGAAATTTGCCTTATGTACACGTATCGGCAATGCAAGCTGCCATGCGACTTTCCCTTCTGACGTCACAAGGGGAATTTCTGTATGCAAATGAGAAGCTAATGAGGAGCCTCGTTTTAAAATACACAAAAATAAAGTTTCCGTAGACTGAGTTTATAAAACACATTTTTTCACTTAAAAAAATTATAATTCATGCTTAAAGACATAAAAATTAATAATATTTGTGTATCAATTGATAATTTTAGGCGTGAAAATAGCAGCCATTTCACAGGCACTTTAATGTTGATAACTTATATATGATTGTATCTACTGCAGACAGTTCCACTGAATCCATATCTATTTCGTAGTCATTGGAACAGAATATAATGATCGATTATGTTGAATGCTGCACTATAGTCTAACAAAACTAGAACAGCTTCTTGTAAAAGAGTGGGTCATTAGAAATACGGAGCAGCGCAGTTCAATTAGAGTGAAAACGGCGATAAGCAGATTACCTCGACGCGAACAGGTTGTTGGTCTGTATGTAATGTTTGCATGGCAGAATTTTTTTCAATACTATTTTAAATAGGTACGGTTGATATTCTTTAAACAAAAGCAGCACATAAAGCTGGAAGTTCGTCGTGATAACAAGCATTTGGAAACACCCTGGTACTGCGATACACATAATTTATGTACAAATATTTAACACTGAAATGTCACTGTTATTCTTATATCAATACCTATTTCTTTTTCAGGCATATATTTGGTATTGGGTGACGTTAAAATTTATGTATGCTAAGCACGGATGGGATAATCGGTTAGTGGAGAATATGGTTCTTCTTAATTTTTACGTACAGTCTTAGTTGTCTTTCATTTTGAAAACACGTGTCATGTACAACTACTTCACAAACACTTAGTTTTTTTCAAAACGCAGTATAATGTAGTACTGCCTATTTAAAATATCACAAGCATTTGCCAACATGTCTCCTCACTCAGTTTCATCTTCCAATCAACCGAAACAAATAAATGATTTTTTCTCAAATGAGTCCAAGCTAATTGGAGTTTACGACCAAGACAGGATGAAGCAAAAGTTCGTACTGAGGCGTATCTGTTCCGATATATATATCTACTATATATGACGTCATTATGCTCGTGCTTGGCACGGTAGTGAACCATAGAAAACGTCGTCAAAGCACAGTCCCAGTGTTTATAGGTTATTCTTTGCTTACTATACAACGTGGTGCATATGAGCTTTTCTACTATCTCAAAGACATTCTTTCATATTTAAATTTACGGGGAATTCACTACCATGCTTCATCAACAATAGAAACCACTGGTTGAAACTGGGTGTATTATGTGATTCCTTTTGTATTTTATTGTCTGGTGTCTTTAAATACAACGTACATAAACGAAACATCGTGTTCTTTGTTGACGTCGGAGAACACAGTTCAAAGACGATGAACCGGCTTTCCATTCACCTGTAGTATATATTAATGTTTTGTTTTTGTTTCCATGACTACGTGGACCGTACCATTTTCGAAGATGTAATAACATAACTAGTCATTTTGAATTTTGTTTGCCTTGCAATTAAATAATTTCTACAAATTATACAAATTTGTATTTGAATGCTTATAGTAACTTAATCGGTCTGATAAACACACTGAAAACAACTGAAACGTTTACGACCAACCGTTTATTGAAATAAAAGAACGTTCCATTATAATGGAGGCCATATAAGGTGTTCAACTAAACTGAACTGTCCAACGCGTGGTCTTGTTTTAGATGCGTATCGTTAAAGCCGACAGAGACACGTAAACAGGAAAGGTTCGCGTTTTTGTGACAATAAGGTAAGTACATGCTTGCACTTGAGTGATCACGCGGCAAACTATTTTCAATAGGTCTTATTTTGTGCGTTGACATTGACTTCAGAAAGCACGGACGTTTCGTTAACCGAAGAGGATAACTATTCTATATATTGTAATTGATACGTTCAACCATGGTAGTAGTAACATTGTAAGTACACGATTTAATCGTACAACGTAAACTTGCAATTACCAAGTGACCTTCGTAGCGAGTCACTTACAAGACGCACCTGTTTGATTGATTGGTACATATCGCATGTTTCATATTTACATTAAAATTTATGTTTTGTCATGAGGAAAACATCTTTTTCCAATTTCCGAAAATAAAATATAGGATTTGTTCAAAAAGCCGATTTTTCACTGGGAAAATTAAGATAAGGGTTTCAAATTATACATGTCGCTTTCACTGCAGTTTAAAGAGACGTGACTCGAGGCTATGACATAGAGTCATAACGTTCAAACAAAGAAATCGTTGTAAGACAGTTTGAGTTTTTCAGTTGGGAACTACGTGTAAATTATTGTAATCCTCCCATTCTATGGTCACGTGATTTGCGACCTAAAATAGTCTGAAAACCTACGACATTGTACACAGGTTCAAAACAAATGACCGTGAACATGAACTGTAAATTAGATTACGAACAGCAACAATGTTGTCATTTTTGAAGCGCTTGGAAATGATTATCAAGTCACGTGACAATTGACGCCAACAACATATTTAATATATGTAATTAAATATATTGTCAATTATTAAAAACGAAGCAAATTATATCTCGATAAACTAATCATGATTTTATTCTATTTACAGGATAGATAATTTCAAAATGAGGACAAATGAGCTCATTACGTTTGCGTTGGTGTTTCTGTCGACATGTAAGTACTTAAGTCACTGTTTAAATCGGGGCGAATTTCTATAACGTAACAACGGTGTTTTATTTGTTTTAATCTTTCTAAGGTCTATGGTTTGACTAATGTTATATACACGAATTATAATCTCACTCGCAAATAATCCCATCAATTGTGCCACTATGTGGATTGCGAGCACTTCGTCATTATATTGTATTGTCGAACTTTAATAATGTAATATCACGTACTGGGTGTTGGCTGTTTGAATAAAACGTCTTTAACATTAAAATATAAACGTTTGCATACTACCAAACACATTCCGCTGTGTTTCATATGAAAAGCCACAGCTGTCTTATGTGTATAGATGACTTTATATGATCCACTGTTCTCATTATATGATGCGAGTATCAGGGGGAAATTCTTCTCCTGGTCGGGGTTTCTCCAACACGTGTCAGGGGTAAATCTCATCTGTCTCTATATCGTTGTGGACACATGTTTATATGATGTGAACACGTTTTTATATGACATGAACACACCTTTATACGATGTGAACCTATGTGTATACGATGTGAACCTATGTGTATACGTTGTGAACACATGTTTATACGATGCGAACACACGTTTATACCATGTGAACACACGTTTATACGATGTGAACACATGTTTATACGATGTGAAAACATGTTTATACGATGTGAAAACATGTTTATACGATGTGAACACATGTTTATACGATGTGAACCCATGTGTATACGCTGTGAACACATGTTTATACAATGTGAACACACTTTATACGATGTGAACCCATGTGTATACGTTGTGAACACATGTTTATACGATGTGAACACACGTTTATACGATCTGAACACACGTTTATATGATGTGAACACGTCTTTATACGATATGAACACACCTTTATACGATGTGAACACATGTTTATACGATGTGAACACCTGTTTATACGATGTGAATCCATGTGTATACGTTGTGAACACATGTTTATACGATGTGAACACACGTTTATACGATCTGAACACACGTTTATATGATGTGAACACGTCTTTATACGATATGAACACACCTTTATACGATGTGAACCCATGTTTATACGATGTGAACCCATGTTTATACGATGTGAACACACGTTTATACCATGTGAACACATGTTTATACCATGTGAAAACATGTTTATACGATGTGAACACATGTTTATACGATGTGAACACGTCTTTATATGATGTGAATATACCATTGCATAATGTGCTCCACTGTTTTCTAAAACCAAAATGAAGATTGAGATCAAATCTGGACCCAACTACTACTATGATGCAACAAGGAGTTCATTGAGAGCATGAAGAAATCCCCGAGACTTGTTATGCCCCCGAGCTATGTAACCACGGCGTTTGGTGAACCCGATGGCGGGAGAAAATAGAATACTATTTGAGGGGCAAACACAATCTTCTTCCCGCAGGTGACTACAAATAACCCACGATTAGTACAGGACACCACAGACGCGTACAAGTAAATCATTCCTACAGTCAACACGCACGTGACACTGTGACTTGCTTTGCAGTCTGTTGCGATTTCATGAAAAAATAAATATAGATTTCGTAAACGAGGGGTGAACGCGAAAGTCATGTGACCGAGAAATCCCAACAGACTTGCCGTAGATGTAAGCGCCCTCACATTACCGGCCAGAATCGGGCTTGTAAATTTGTATATACATACGTCATACGGTGGGTGGAGCATCAACGAAATTAATGGCGAGATGAGTAAAACCACAGTGCCGGGGTTTTCTTTAAACCTCAACTAAGAAACTCACCACAGCGCCACCAAGTTTTTTGGGATTACGCGATCACAGGACTTTTGCGTTCACCCCTAGTTTACGCAATTTATATTTGTTTTTCAAGAATTTGTCATCGAAACAACAACAGACTGCAAGCAAGTCCACAGTGTCATTGATGTATAAACTACGACAGGTTATTTAGTTTTCGATTGTTTCTGAGAAATGTATGTAAATCGTAATATGTCTTGTGGTTTCAGTGACGCAGACGTTCGGATTAGACTGCGTTTCATGCACCACAAGTGATATGGATGACAGTCCTTTTACTTGTTTCAACGCGCCATCTTCTGAGATCGATATCGAAGGTACCGTGGGTGTACAGTCCAGTACGTGTGATAGTGGCGAAGTATGCAGGGTAAGCGTGAATAAACAGTGCCCTCCCATTCTATGTTACAGGAGAATTCCATATCACAACTTCATCTCAAGTGGCAAGTGTATTATATCGCCATTGTATGATATTCATGCAGATTCGATCATTCGAGCTTTCATTCAAGCTATTTAATTTAGCGGCGTTATATTACTCCTGGTACAACAATGGCGTTCCTTTTATCTTTATAAATATTTACAAATTTCACAATTCAAACTGAAACGAGAGGTTTTCTTGTCAGATTGATAACATGATTGAAACGTTTTCAGATGACGTCGTTGCTTACTGCGCTCGTTGATTGGCTGGTTGAATTTGATTTATCTGCCATTAAAATTTGAAAATATTTATAAAGATGAGGGAATATGGTCAAGAGTATGCATGTTTTGACTTCATTTTGCATAGCCTTGTCATAAAAAAATATTCTGGCTTCAATTTCCTTGCGAACCTTGAGAGAGTATTCCCTCCAATGTTTAAAATACTCTGTTTAAAGTTGACAAGTTGGCAAGTTGACCAAAAAACGATTAATTAGTATTTTTGATATTATTATTCTCTCCGTATACGAAAAAAATGTCTCTTTCTGACCACATGGAAGTCACTGCTGTTCTTTTAACGTGTTACAGGTAGTGGCGTATTATGGTGACAATGGATTGGAAAATCTAGAACGAGGCTGTTTTGATTCGGAAACATTCTGTGGAGGAAACACTAACGTTGCCAATGAATGTGACGATAAACATGGTAAGCATGGAAAACTGTTTTTTTTTTTTTTTTTTTTTTTTTTTTTTGTATGCAGTTCCGAGGTAAACGCGTAAAACCTGCAGTGGCGGCGGCACGGGGGGTGCAGAGAGGGCCATCTCCCTCTCGAAAAATGTTGGGGGCGTCACCCCTCCAAAATCTAGCTGAAACCCTTGTGTCAGGAAAATCTACCCAATGCAGGAAATAGCGTTTCGAGAGTCTATATTTTAAAGGTTGGTGAGCAGATCTCGCCCCGTGCAAAATGTCGTGCCGCCGCCTCCGAACTGATACAGTAGCACAATCCTCGGGGGCGGACATCCGGGCATTTTCACTGCCTGGCAACCCTCGGCGGTAAAAACAAAGGCCCAAAACTCGCAGAAAACGGTACTTTAGGATGACTGTTGAGACTCCTCTGAACAGTGTAACAAGATTAGCCCTACGTGTGTAACATATATAAATTTGGTTGTTCGGGATTACTTCAAAGTTGAGTTTGTGTTTATTTTCTCGAATTTTCACCGGCTCGACTGGCGTTCCACAGCAGCGCGCACAGAGCCCATAGAAATGCATGTACAGTGGTGCGCGTCGTAGCAACGTGGAACGTCTTGTGACGTAGCTCCGCCCCCGAGGATATGATGATTTGATTTCTAAAATGAATGGCGCCCTCCGCGTCATTGTTTTGACAGAAGGGGGGTGGATTATTCCCAATCTGTACTATCCTATATTGTATAAATATTGAAATTTGTCAGGTCAAAGAGTTATTATGGTATGAAATTAGTATGGATTAACACGCCATTTGCATTATACAAAATGTATAAGGGGAATGATTTGAATGCAGTACACGTTCATGTAACTAGCGCCATCTATCGACGAATCGTTTTCGCGATATCGCTGGCGCCTGGCGGAGCCGTATTGTTGGCGGAATTTTATTCTGTAGTCGTTGTTGAGGGAGTCGCTATATTCCAAATGACGAACGACTATACAACAAAATACGATTGTCGCTTTGAACGACATTGCCTGTATTAAATAACATCGATAGGTGCTTTGTATGTCCAACTTCGGTTTACGCCATCTCGTACAAACTACCTTTTACGATCTGGTACTCATTACTCTATGTGATGTTCTTCAACGTGTTTTACGATACAATGCACAGAAGTTTTTTTTTATTTGTCACCTTTTTGCCTTGTCTTAAAACTAATATGTGTGAGATCATAAACTATGTATAACTGTCACTCATTGTTTTGAATTTCAGCAAACTGCTACCAATGTTGCGACGAAGACTATTGTAACACTGATGTTCCGGACACAGCTGATACGATTCCTAAGTTGACCATCTTTGGTGTTTTGACCACCAGCATTATCTCTATTGCGTTAGTTGTAACTTAGTTGAACACGCTAGTGATGGCTGGTCGGGTGGATCTAACTTTAATATGTACATTAGTGCGATACAGGACTAATGCCGAAATCATGAATGAAAGTGGAAACATTATGAATTCAATTTTCAGTATATTAATCTGTCCCACGCAGTCTGACACCAACTGGAGATGAAGAAGATAGGTCGTTAGTTCACTTATGAGAGAAATTGCTGTGTTTTTGCAGATTGTTTTAATTCATGTAATTCGAAGCCACACTTAACCAAATGCAGGCTAAGCTCCAAAAACAGCACATATACAACTAGAAGATTAATAGACACAAGTGGCCGCCGGACCTCTTGAGAGCGAGAAATCCACAAAATACGTTCAGTTTCCCTTGTCATCGCGACACTCTCAATCTCAAAAATCTGCCTCTGTAGTCTTTTGCATGATATTTAGCATAACCATATGTCCTATGACCTTTTATAACCCAATTTATACCGCAAACGTGATTTGTCGGCACAATATCACGTGGAAGTATCACATGGAAAACCAAATATGGAGATATGGATGGAAAACAGTGCCATGTTATTCAAAGTTTCACATGGTTCTTTATAATTTCTCCCGCTCATTCAAGTTGCTACTTTTAAAATACGTAAAACACGGACAGGGTGGGGTGATTTTCCTTGTAGATATGAAAACCACAACATGGTTCACAATTACTGCATATAGGTTTACTTTTTAACGGGGATACATGATGCTTAAAACATTTCGTATGTACATATTGTAATGTTTAGACAGTATGCTGGGAATATATTTTTTATGAAATGCAATTGTGGCCAAACTCCGAATTCTGATTATATCTTCATTTAACAATCATACAGTGTTCTACGATTGTACATTGTCCAAACTTTATAAAACAATTAATTATTGTACGATATATGTTTTTACCATTTTACAATTAAATAAATTTGCCAACGTCTCTATTTTATATATGTATGTTACACTAGAAAACGTACATTCAGGCGTACATTTATTTACATTTTTTTAATAGAGATATAATAAGCGTTTATTTTTTTACTTGAATTCTACTCAAATAATCATGTATTTCAATTCATTCATTTTAACATTTATTTACAGTTTTTTTAATAGAGATATAAGCGTTTACTTTTTTTATTTCAAATCTACTAAACAACGTTGAAGTACAACCTGTGTAATTTTTGATCGTCAAAAAACAGATCGAAACCAACACACATCAGCACAAAGATATATAGGTTCGTGAACACGTGGTGAACACATCCAAAAATATAAAGTTCAGGTCAGTCTT